AAATACCATTTATACGTACTTTATGTTAAAATACAGATACAAAATATATCTACGTTCTGTTAAACAACAGATACCTTTTATACCTACTTTATCCAAAACAACAAATACCATTTATGTATACTTTCCGTTAAACCTCAGATACCATTTACACCAACATTCTGTTAAACAATAGCTACCATTTATATCTACTTTCTGTTAACAAAGAATACCATTTATGCCTACTTTCTGTTAAAGTATAGATACCATTTACACCTGCTTTCTCTTAATTCACAGATAGCATTTATACCTATGTTCTGTTAAAAACAGACCCATTTATAACTACTTTCTGTTATACCACAGATACTATTTATACTTACTTTCTGTTCAATCACATATACCATTTATACCTTGTTTCTTTTAAACCGCAGGTACCACTTATGTCTCCTTTCTGTTAAATGACAGATACGATTTACACCTACTTTCTGTTAAACTACAGTTACCATTTATAGCTTCTTTCTTTTAAACCACAGGTGCCATTTGTTCCTCCTTTCTGTTAAAATACAGTTACCAATTGTACCTACGTTCTGTTAAATAAACAGATACCATTTATACCTACTTTCTGTCAAACTACAGATACCATTGATACCAGGTATAAATTTTATTTGTTTTTTAACAGAAAGTCTGTATAAATGGTATCTGTGGTTAAAGGAACGTAGGTGTCAATAGTATTTGAAGTTTTTACAGAAAGCAGGTTTAAATGGTATCTCTTTTTTAACCGAAAGTAGATATAACTTGTATCTGTAGTTTAAAGGAAAGTAGGTATAAAGGGTATCTGTGGTGTGACAGAAAGTAGGTATAACTGGTATCTCTTGCTTAACAGAAAGTAGGCATAACTTGTATCTGAGGTTTAAAGGAAAGTAAGTGTAAATGATGTTTGTGATTTGACAGAAACTTGGTATAAATGGTATATGTTATTTTTTACAGAAAGTGGGTATAAATGGTGTGTGTGATTTGAGTGAACGTAGGTATAAATGGTATCTCTTGCTTAACAGAAAGTAGGTATAAATTGTATCTGTGGTTTAAAGAAAAGTAGGTATAATGAAATCTGTATTTTAACTGAACGTGGATATAAATGGTATCTATGGTTTAATATAACGAAGGTATAGATGTTATTTGTTGTTTAACATAAAGTAGGTATAAATGGTTTCAGGGGTTTAATATAAAGTTGGTGTAAATTGTATATGTGGTCTAACAGAGAGTACGTATAAATGATATCTGTATTTTAAAAGAAAGTAGGTATAAGTGGTATCTCTTGTTTAACAGAAAGTAGATATAAATGGTATCTGTGATTTAAAGAAAAGTAGGTGTAAATTCTATCTCTGTTTAATAAAACGTAGGTATCAGTGATATCTGTTTTTAATTAGAACTTAGGTATAAATGGTATCTGTGCTTTAAAGAAAATTAGGTATAAATGATATATATTTTTTAACAAGACGTAGATATAAATGGTATCTGTGGTTTAACAGAACGTAAGTATAAATGGTATCTCTTGTTTAACAGAAAGTAGATATAAATGGTATCTCTTCTTTAACATAAAGTATTTATAAATGGTATCTGTTCTTTAATAGTAAGTAGGTATAATGGGTATCTGTGGTTTAACAAAACTAGGCATAAATAATATCTGTTTTTTTAACAGAAAGTTCTCTTTCTGTTTAACCACAGATACCATTTATACTTACGTTCTGTTAAAAAACAGATACCATTTGTAACTACTTTCTGTTAAACCACAGATATCATTTATACCTACGTTATGTTAAACCACAGATACAGTTTATACCTACTTTATGTTAAGATTAAAATACCATTTATAACTAATTTCAGTTTAACAACAGATACCATATATAACTACATGCTGTTAATAATGGATTCCAAGTATAACTATACTTTGTTAAACAGCAGATATCAAGAGTTTTTTCATCATTAAATATAAATTTTTTATATTACATGTAGACTATGAACACCTTGTACTTTCGCAAAATGTCCCTAAGTAAAACTTATGATTCACCACGTGCTTCTGGCGTAATTTAACTCACTAAGAATTAGTTTTAAGATAAAATTATTTTAAATAAACATATTTCTTAAAATCATCTAATACTTTCTTATTTTATATTAAACTTATGTCATATTCATTCTTTATATATTCAGTTCTATATTCAACTTATGCAATACTAATTTGTTTTATATTTAGCTTATCCCATATTAATTTGTTATATATCCAGCTTATGTCGTAGACTTTGTTCAATATTCAGCATACGTAATATAAAATTTGTTCTATATTTAGCTTACGCCATATTCATTTGTTATATATATTCGGCTTATGCCATTTTGTTCTCCGTTAGAACCTCAAGATGAGTCCACCTGTCGACATTGAAGACTTGAAACGAAGATATTGTAGTCGTTTGCATCATTCCCTGTTTCTGTATATGTTGATGATCTCTCTTCTTTATGGACTTTCTTTCCTTTTTCTGGCTCATATCGTATTTGAACATGTAAGTAACTTGACTTTTAATAACTTCTAATTAAAAATAGTAACTAGAAAATCATCCTTTCATTTAATCTCATAAAAATCTCTTGCAATCGTATGTATTAATAAAATTTGAAGATGTTTTATAGGATGTAATTCAAGATAAAAGTAACTTAGTTTAAAGGTGTTCATAGTATACATGTAAT